GAGAAAGAGAGAGAGAGAGAAAGCGCGAGAACGAGAGAAAGAGAGGGAGAGAAAGGGAGAATGAGCACGCTAATCTACTTAAATATAATATTACATACGATTATTATATATACGTTAGATATACATTATGTGTATTGTATTTATGTCTCAATAATCGTTGTTAGTTATATCGCTATGATGATGATGATAATGAGTATGATAATTACCGACGACTTCAGAGAAGGGGAAGGAACATAAACGCGGAACTAGACACGCATACACACGGTACATAATATACCATGCACGCATCCGCGCGAGCTTGTTCTGTGCGATTTTGCAAAGATATTCTTGTATTCGCGATTCGATAGGAACTCTTCTCATTTTTTTTCTTTTTTTTTTTTATTAAAACATAATCTAGAGGTAGATATATATATATATATATATATATATATATCACGGTTTTATTTATATATCACGTATCATAAATTTTTCGAAGGAGAGACATTTCTAATTTTATGAAATTTAACTGATTGGCTCTTTTTCAGTCGCGAAAGGCTGTTTTTATCGGTGCCAGGAGAGCGCAGAGAATAATAAGGTGAATAAATAAAAAAAACGCACATACATTTAACAGTGGCACTTGAAATGCAATCCGCTCGAATCTCCGATGCACTCGATGCACCTCGCCAATCGCACAGGCACGCTCGTGGGACGCCGGAGTCTTTCCCGATGGCAGGATTTCAAGGCATCCTGTGGAACATCTCGAAAGAGATATGAGAGGCTCGAAGTAGATCGGTACATTCGCGGTTTCTAACTGATTTCTGCGATGGACGAACGATATTACATTTATTAAACGATTTACATTTAACCATTAGTCGCATTATCGATATTATTGTACTACTAACTAGCGCTCGTACCCTCTTATACTCGTAAAAAATGAAAGAGAGAGAGAGAGAGAGAGCGAGAGAGAGAGAGAAAGAACGAAAGAGAGTACCTCGACGACGGGTTCTCGACTGGAATCGAGACACCAGAAGCGCCGGGGCAGAGAAGACGGGAAAACGTGTGCTGGAAAAATCGAACGCGGCTCAATCTGTCGGACGACAATCGGCGCGCGATAATGTGGGAATCGAGTACTGTTGCGAGAAGGGCGGAAAAATAACGTCGTTGGTTGGTTCAATGACGTTATTATTTAGATCGTTTTTGCGGCACCGTATTCGAGCGTGGTAAGGTGAACCTCTCCGCGAGTCGTCGCGAATTTCAAGCCGGACTTCGGGGAGTACTCAAAGTACGGTTTCGCGGGGATCTCCCATTGCTCGTTCGTCGGCGAAGTGACCAGGACGTGCTCGTCGTCGTCGGATTCCCGAGGATCGCGAGTCGCGCGATTCCATCGGCGCTGGATCCCCCCGTACCTCGACGACGGGTTCTCGACTGGGACAGCGCGGAATTGTTCGCGGAGAAAACGGTATTCTCGGCAGGGCGACGCGAGGGATGAGAGGGGGCTCGACCGGAAAAAGCCGGCGGCTACGATGGCGAAACGAACGGCGGTATATATCGAGACACCAGAAGCGCCGAGTTCGCTTCGCGTGCTCGGGGAGCTCGGACGTTCCGTTAATTCCATTGAAAATTGTCATATTCCTTGGCACGTTGTAAGAAATACGGACTTTTTTTAACGATATAAAAGGATCCCGCACAAATCTTATGGGAATTGAACTTCGGTCGAACTGACTGAAAGTTTATGATATATCGTAGATCTTGCCATCCCGATAAAAAGTCTCCGCAGGCACCCTTACAATGAACCGTTTGACCTCTACAACGTCATTTTTTCAAATAGGAATATATTATACTCGTTGAAAATGAGATATTGAGTATTAACCCGTTTTGAAAAATGACACCTCGTAGAGATCAAACGATTTCAGGCAGTCGTGTCTGTGGAAACTTTTTATCAGGACAACGAGAACTGTAACGTATCAAATTTTCGGCTAATTCGACCGAAATTCAATTTCCATAAAAGAGTGATGACAAAAAGACCTGTTTTTCTTTCGCCCATTTTTTGAACCTCGAATTTCAAACTTTTTTTTAATGCCAAACAGTACTATATGATGTAACGTTAATCCTTAAGAAATTTTAAGACGAGCATAGGCACGGTTCCGGAGATATGAAGGGATGAAAGTAAAGGTTTTCTCATAACCCGTGAAAGTACACGAAACTCTTCAAGTGTCCACACCAAGGAATAAAATATATATTTAACGAAGTGAAACATATCGTTTCTTATGGATTTCTTTACGCCGGACTCAAATGTGACCTTAGTTTTCGTCTAGCATGAAAATTCCCCGATATAGATAGAATTGAAGTAACACTCGCCTCTCACAGATCGGGGTGTTTTCACTTGTATCTCCGGAATCGTGCGTATGCACTCATTTTAAAATTTTACTGGGATTAATGTTTCATCTAATAGTACTATTTGCCATAAAAAAAAGAAATTTGAAATTCGAGATCCAAAAAATAGGCGAAATTTGCTGTCACTCTTTGTGCGGGATCTTTTCTCCTTACTCGCGTTTAGGTCGCCTTGGAAATATTAGCAATGTGGACGTTGATAAAAGAAGTCTGCTTAATTCTGTCCTCTCACCTGTACCATTACTTTGGAGATATATTTTGAAGACTTGCCGCATCGATCACTCATATTATCATCCTTACCAGTTTTCATAATTTTCCGATATCCATTGCTGATATTTCTCGATATATAAATTTGGAGTATCGACGTAAAGTGCGCGCGATGTTTATTCGCCTTGCATCTGTGCAATATAAAGCTCCATCGATCGGCCGAGGCGCAGCTCCGGGAAAATCTAAAAGTGGTGCTGTAGTAAAAAAAAAAAAAAACGTTATCTTTCCTCGTGGACTGGCGCCTCGTCGAAGACGAGCCGATTGTACGAACGGTTTAAACAAAGAGAAAGCTAATTATATAATTAAGTGCAATCAGAGCAGTCATTGATATTGACGAAATTAATTGTTCGGGGCTAAGAATGAAATTTCGAATGACAACGAAACCGACTTCGTTTCCTTTTTTTCACAATACTGATAATCGGTCGAAAGGATTCCAACAATGGGATCGTTTTGTGAGCGGCCTCGCTGAAAATCGCGGCGTGATTTTCGTAATTTTTAACACAATTCCGAGAACTCGCAGATGCAGCGAGTATTCGCAGACGATAAATCCGTCTGAAGATTTTCAGCGATACCGTTCCTAATACGTCGAAGCAGCGTCGCTGTATGCTAAAGTACGCACAATCGTCACCAATATGTGGCGACGATTTGTTTGTTAGTTGTAAATCACGAGATTGTCCATAAATCATTGTCATTAATCGCATCGTGTCATCTATCGCAATCGTGGCATTCATCCTAGGATCGTTTTTATTTCGCTTTAAAGGCTCATTCGTCGATTCGCTGACACTTTGATCATCTCATACCGCGTCGTTATGTATTACCATCGAAATGCCACGATCTGTTTCATCGAATCGCTCACTATCACGCATAAATTCATGCGATCATTCGTAATCATTATTCCATTTCATACATTAAATGCGGCATAATAAATTTATTACAAGACTCATAGTCATTGATTCATTCACCCATTGTCATCATTCATCATCGATCGCCTTTTCTTCCTTCGTGTTATGAGGATAAGCAAGGTGTAGGTAATGTATAGGGATAATCCTTGATGAGAGAGAATATCATTCTGCCAATTGTGCCATCATTACGCCGTCACCGATGGTCGAATAAACATCGCCCACTTCAAGCTTTTTTTTTCCGATCTGAACACCCTCTCGTCGCTTGATAATTTTCATCGTCCAGAGAGAGAACGAGAGTTACGAACTTTAATTACAGTTGTTGCAAATTCCGTGAGCGCCCTTGCATGCATTTTTCTAACCGTCCGCGATTCCATTTTGATTTCCGCAATATTTTCAAAGTCCCGTTAATAATTACGTTGCTTTGTCACAAGTCACGACTGTGTATCTTCTTTTAAAATTAATTATCCCGACCCTCTTGTATCAAAATATCGATTTACTTTTCGTGCGAGTCAAATGTAAAACTTTACGTTTAAAATTTTTCTGAATTTTTTTAGACAGTTGGCTTTTTCAACAGCGTTTACAAAGTAAATGCAAGGGGTATTTGCGGCATCGGCGACACATTTACGAAAGGGGTAGGTAATTGAAAATGAAATTGCGTAACGCGTAACGGGTGGGATATGATTTTTGCGCGGACTTGGGCGTGCACGCACGTTTCTCATTCACGTACGTACGCACGCACGCACGCACGCACGCAGGCACGCACGCACGCACGCATTTCCGACGTGCATGAATGCGGAATCGTGCGTGAAACGGAAATAATGTGGAAAAACAGCAAAAGCAAACTCTAGCTCACCGTAGGCCTAACTAAGAAAAAAAAAAATGAAAAGTATTTATGTACTGTCTAAACTAACTAATTTAAAAAAAAAGATACAGACAAGAAAGCGGGAGAAAGGAAGAGAGAGAAAGGGGAATACAGTGCAAATAGGAGAAAGAAAGAATCAGAGCGAATGCGAAAGAATGAAAGAGTGAGAGAATGAGATAGAAAATATTTAAAGTACTCAAGAAATTACTCTGAGACGAGCCACAACGATCCAAAAAACTGGTAACTACTCTGTAACTATTCTGTAACAAAAAAAAAAAAAAGATGAATTAAGAGAGAAATAGAGGGACAGAAATTAGGTGGACAAAAGAGGAAAATACGTGAGTCAAGGGAATGAAAGAGAGAGTATGGGAATAAGCAGAAAAAGAGAGGGGAAGAGAGACAGTGAGATAATCTATAATCTTCTGTACATGTTTTGATTATTCTAATTATTAATTATCATAACTTATAATAACTAATTAATTAATTAAATTAATTGATATCTATGAAACTATATTTAAACGAAACAAAAAAAAACGTGGTAGCTAGTCTGTCAATGGGTGTATAAATATTTAATTACGATAACTCTGTAGTGATATTAAAAAACAGAACAAAGATAACTGCGCGAGGATGAACGAGAGAGCGAAAAAAAAAAAAAACAGAGAATTTGGAGAACGATTGACGGTGTTAGGAGAAGAGAGCGAACGAACGAGAGCAAAAGCGGAAGAGCGAAAGGAGGTATGAGAGGAGCGAGAATGTCACATGCACACACACATACACACTCACATACAAACGTTCGAGTACACAGTATAAGAATATAAATGTAATTATTAAACTAACGGGATAAAAATACAAAAAACGACAGAAAGTCAAGCGCGCGAATATAAACACGAACAATATCGAGATAAACGAAGATAACACAGGTTTGCATGATTTTGCGGTTTAAAAAACAGAAACTGTTTCTTATAATTTTATGCGCGCTAATCCAAATTCGTAAGTGAAAATATTCCATCACGTCGAGTTTACGAGAAAAATGGGATTGAAATTCCTAAAAAATGCATTTTAAAGTACAAACATTATTAATTTGAGCTCTTTTAGAAATTTCTCGTACATCGGGTTCGTCGGCTATAATCGTAGTGAAAATAGAACGTAGAGCGACTCAATCAATAATGTTAATTGAAGAGTAAAGGAAGTATAAAGAGAGGAAAGGGAATAAACAAAATCCGTAAGAGGTAAAAATTGAAACACAGAACGTAAAGATAGCGATAACTGATCGTTCAAGAAACGTAAACAGAGCATAGAGAGTCCTTTACTAAGCGAGTAGAACGTTTGCCAAATGTAAATCGAGCTCTTCGACGAATGTAAACGAATTGCGAACGAGGTCTTCGGTAAGCGTATGAAAATATTTAAAAATATATTTTATTTACTTGGTAATATTTTTTATAAAGAAACGTATTACATTTTCATCTTGAAGCCCTTGGGTCGCTTTAAAAAATTGTTTTATAAGAACAACTAAATACAACTGAAGAATTTTTGAATTCTATAGCTTTTATTCTATGTGGTCTTTTAAAGCGAGAAATTTAATTTCCTGCATCTTTCTGTTGATAATAACCTTAAAAAAAGTTTTTCTTTAAATGAAACGTAAATAAAGTTATTAAAATGACAATTGAATATTAAAAAAGCATTAATCGTAATAGAACTATTTGGTAAGCATGATTAGAACGATAGTTTAATGTAAACGGAGTGCCGAGCAGTATATGGAAAGCGTATCGAAATGCTTCGTACACGTTTTATGAAATGTTTGAGAAACGATGAAAATGAATTATTGAAAATGTGTAAAAAGCTTTTCTCATACATGCTTTACGGATCGTCCGGGGAACATGTTCTAATATCCGAAATCGCAAAGAATCAATGGAAAATTAATGAAGTATTTAAGAAGCGTTTAATCTCTTCGTTTACATTTCTTTAACGTTTTGAGGAGCTTACCATTTTTACCAGAAGAATTTCCAAAAATAGTAAAAAACGTGTTTTCGAAGAGTTTTAACTATATTTTTCCGCATAAACTCGGACATGACGGAGCATTGTTGCTTGCCAATTTGGATTTGATGTATAAAAAAATTCTGGGGAAACCACTCTTCTTTTTCAAGCCGCAAGAAAATAAACTTGCAGACCCGTGTAACGATTTTCTAACGGGTGTCCCGAAGATCTTCGTTGTGCGTTTAATGGGACAGGTTTCGCAATTAATCGCGGGAGGAGGGGGGGGGAGGGGGATGGGAAGGAAAGGAGAGAAGAAGGGTAGAGTTCTTCCGGTCTATAATCTTCTATTACGTGAAAAAAAAAATTCGGGTCCTTCTCGTGGCCAGGGTGCGAAAAACATTTTTTCAGTTTTCGCGCGTTCTTATGGGCTAAATTGATTCATCGCCAATTGTCATGATTGTCACTATAATAGATGATTCACCACATGCATCCCCTTTTGAAAGGATCATCATAATTTTGCTGCGGTCTTGCAGATCTGACATAACCATCTCGTTGGTAATTATAGTCGAATTGACGATCGATCAATCTCATCGAGAGGAAAACCCGCATGCATATACGTGCGATAACAAAACGGCTGCGATCAGCTAGTAGCGAAATATATGCTACATATTGCGACTTGGGCTGCGTTCCACTTAACGCTCACTCTACGCTCGTAGAATCATTTCATCCTTGTCGTTTATTAGATGTTAAACAAGGACAAACGCGAGCGTTGCGAGCGTTAAGTGGAACGCAGCCTTAATCACACGATCATCTCGTTTAACATTAGGCACGATGCAACCGCATCGGTCGTTCTCTTTTTTCTGAATCACGATGGCGCCGAGAGACTCGCTCGCTCATCGATAAGACTGTTACCGAATCTCGCAACGACCGACGTTCGTAATTTCACGTTTCTAATTAAGCTACTTGAACTAAGCGTCCTCGTGCGACAAGAGGAAGTTACTTGTACTTCGATGCGCGTATACGCGTGACGACGCGTTAGCGAGGAACCTCATTTTATGACTGCGAAGATATGGCTTCTCGACGAAGCTGCTCTCCAAGGGGAAAGCTGGAAAATGAAGTTTCGTGTCCTGCGCTCCTCTCGATATCGACTGGCCATTTTTGCTGGCCACAGAACATGCTCGTTTGAAGTTTCGACGAACACCGGGAAGGTCTCTTTGAGCCAAAAACTTCTTTTTCCAACTACCCTCGAACTTTTTTTTGTTGGACGAAGTTTACCACGTTCAGAATGATTGAAAAAAAAATCGAAAAAAAAAAAAACGATCGCTCCGTCTCTCCTAAACCAGGCTGGTCGAGACTGGTCCAGACTGGTTTGGTTCGGGACCAGCTCAGTCACTCTAATCGTATGCAGTTGCGAGAGATGAGGCCTACTCAAAACAGGACGTTTACTAGACGTCAACGCGAGAATTAGAAGCCAATTGATCTTTCTTCCCGAGTATTTTCATCTCGAGGAAGCCCGGCAGCGATCCTTTACTCCCTATCAATGTATCATTGATGACGCGAATTAAATACGACGACTGTTTAAATTCAACTAGGTACGATAGGTGATAAAGCTAAAGCAGGCAGTTAGGTTTATTTTTTTTTTTTTAATGTACGCTGAATGTACACGGAATATTATCTTCGAAGCATATGTGGAGAAAAATTATCCTCGTAATAATTCTCGCTTGGATTCCCGGCACGCTCTCTTGTGTGTAAAATTAATATTTACACACACAATTCGTTTGCGCAAATTTTTTCAAGATTTTTATTGCGATATCCGACAATTCTTTTCTAATGCGCCCATCACGTTGTTTCTCACTGAAATCTACTTACGACGAAAATACAACGGATACTATTTTTTACTTACAGCGTGTCGCGAATCAGAGTTAATAACTAAAGAAAGAGTAGTTCCGAAAAATCTTTATAACTTATATAATCGTATAGAAGCTAAAGAGAAACACTGTTATTTACAAGAACTTACAATTACTTCGGCGTTTTCATTGATCGTTTTACTATCGCGAAGTATAGAAGCGAAGTATAGAAAATATAGAAAGAATACTGTGAAAGACTTAGGATTCATTAGGGAGGGTGGGACAAAAGGGATGAAGGGTTGGGCTACTTAATTTTTTCGACGGAGTATTTGCGAGGTGCTTGTTGTATAAGTAAGATCAGAGGCCAATTTCCATCGTTTTTTAAACATTCCATCCGAATCTTGAAGATTCTCGCGCGACAAGAAAGACTTCCTTATCTCGTTTATGATCTTTATAATTCATTCCTTTAGTCCACTGCGTGCAACTCTTATGCATCTCCAAAAATCGAATTGTTACAATTGTTAAAATTTAAAGGAATTTTATTTATCCATGAAGCTTTCATGAATATTTTTACTGCTGCTGTCGAAATGAATTTTTTACATAATTAAAAATTACTTTCTTTTAAAGAGTTGAAACTACAAGTAGATTAAATTATGTAATATTGTTCCGAGCAAAAGAAATTTAAAAAACGATAACAACAGAAAACTCTTCTGATGCATACAGTTTACTTAAATTGTTAAATTAAAAGTGAATTATTTAGATAATTCTCTGAATATTTGATTCAAATTTTCCAGAAACTGGATTTTTAATCTGCATATATACATTCGCGCTTCGTGTTATTTATTATACAGTGATAACTTTGTATAGAGACGGACGAGAATGTTCATATATACACATTCCAGGCGCGTTAATCTTCTACGTACAAAAGTTGCGAGAAATATCTGCTTTTGAGTATCGCGATTTCGAGTTATATAACGTATTATTATACTATCGCCAAAGATGTATATCCCTTATAGCAAAGGGCGCATATATTCGACGTAACTCAAATGGAAGCTGATGGAATATCATTGTTATGAAAGGAGAGAGAGAGAGAGAGAGAGAGAGAGAGAGATCGTTTCTTGTCTGGTATAAAAAATTATTCGAAAAAGTAATACAATTACGTTCTTCTTAATTACGTAACAAAATCGTATGTGTCAGATTTGACAGTTTTGATTTTAAATAAAGACAGCTATTTGATGAAAATTGAAATAATT